TCAGTACTTCTATATTATCTTTCATTTGCGATTTTAAATGCTTATTATATTATAAATACATGACTGATTAAATGGTCTACCATTCTTAAATGTTTAGGGATATATCGATATATTTGTCTCTGCCTAACAATCTATCCACTTAAGAAGCATTAGAACAAAATAAAATATTTATTCTGTGTTACAAGATGTGATGTAATAGATATAGAGTATAATGATAACAAACTGGGTTAATATTTCATATACACAATTCCAACTAAACAGTAAGATGTGTCGCTCAGTTTCGTGGATTGGTTGAAGTTAGACATTAACACCGTTGGATATCGGCCAGCCCAGTGGTCTAGTGATTAAGCGCTCGTGTGCGAGACTAATAGGTCCTTGGTTCGAATCTCATGAGGCGAGGTCGTGGATACGCACTACCATAGAGGAGTTCCACAATAGGACGAAACAGCCGTCCATTGCTTCCAAGTTTTCCATAGTGGTTTAGATTTAATTGACTCATGATCTCAACCATTGAAATCGAACAGTAAGAGTTAGATTATAGAGAGAAAATAATTTATTCATTCAAGAGATATAGGTTAGCGTTTTTTTAGCGAGTTATATATACAAATGTCAAGACAGTTTTACTGTCTGGGGCGGAAACCTGGAAAACTACGAAATCCATCGTCCAAAGAATACAGGTGTTTATTAACAGTTGTCTACGCAAAATACTTCAGATCCGCTGGCCGGACACTATAAGCAACAACCTACTGTGGGAGAGAACAAATCAGATCCCAGTGGAGGAAGAAATCAGGAAGAAGCGCTGGAAGTGGATAGGACACACATTGAGGAAAGCACCGAACTGCGTCACAAGACAAGCCCTCATATGGAATCCTCAAGGTCGAAGGAGGAGAGGAAGACCAAAGAATACATTACGCCGAGAAATGGAGATAGATATGAGAAAAATGAACAAGAATTGGATGGAACTAGAAAAGAAGGCCCAGGACAGAGTGGGTTGGAGAATGCTGGTCGGCGGCCTATGCTTCATTGGGAGTAACAGGCGTAAGTAAGTAAGTAAGTAAGTAAGTAAGTATACAAGAGATATATAGTTAACTACAGTTTAATCCAAGTAGTAAAATACCAGTGAAATCAGATAGTAGAAACCAACAGAGTTATGAATTAACAATACTATTTATATGTTATCTCATATATTTGACAAAGCTAAACCTATCTCTTTGCTTTACTCACCAGCTATTCATGTCTTACTTTCACTGACATGACGATATCAACCGATGGTTAGAGACCTTGAATGACATGGTTCAAAATCGTTTGCAATGGCACAGATACATCCACTCTTCATATTCTCCCAAATTATAATCTTTTGAATTCTTCATGTCCCTTTGGTTTTTCTCTTTCGAAATTTATTTCACTAGATTATACTCCTTGAATAAAATCATCAAATCTTAATCTTTCCAATTACTGCTTATATTTTTACTATCTCTATCACTATGGGATTTATATTGACAATTGTATCTTTGTGTTAATGTAGTATGACAATTTGAACGGATGTACGTATGTAAGAAGTTCTACGTTGTTGTTAACTGACTGACTGACTGACGGACTGACTGACGGACTAACTGACTAACTGACTGAATAATAACTAGTATTCCAAATACTTGAATTCCATTAGTAAATATGAATTCAAATTAGTATATCAAGTGTAACTCTCCTCTGACAAGATATAAATAATATATAAATCATTTGAAGTATTCATACCAAGGTTCAACTTGAGCATAGAGTTAGAAGTTAATAGTAAATATATCTCTTGTTATATTCCAATAAATAGATCAAATTGTATATCTGACGTTTACGTGACTTAATTTAAGTCACCTCTTCAGAGTAAATACAATGTTTCTATTCATTGAGATATAATAAAAAAACTTTATATTTATTAGGTAAATATTTACTTTAAACTGTAACAATATGGAATAATTAGATCCTAGAACGAAAAGAAATGAGAAAAGTATAAGTCATATTGTAGTAAACAAGATAACACATTAGGGACAAACGATTGTGTTAATCAATCGTCTCAAACTTTATTGTTTTTCTTTTGTATCTATATCAATCATTCTTTGTTCTCATTCTCTTTTGTTTGATCTTCTTAACCTTCTACTGTCAGGCATTTTATTTTCGATTTGTGTTACATACTACTTATATCAGTCAACATAAGTAGCATACAACACATATTAATAATACAAACTTATACTTATTCTTGCTTGAAACATCAAAAACTCAGTCTATTTAATAATTTACTTTTTTGACACTAACAATTCAAATTGTGACAGAGTTATTACGAATAAAGTTTATTATTCATTTTAATGTTAAACAAATTACCTTAATTCTCTTCGAAGAAGGTCAGATTGATTCACTATATTAGTAAGCAGTTGTCCCTTGGGCACTGCAGGTCATGTTCTCAAGTAATAAAGACCATATCTAACACAAATTCTTTTTCAAATACCTCTAGAAGAACCCTTCCACGGTGTGGGCAACCGGGAAATGATAACCGCTCTAATATCTCAAATAGCACTCAATATCATTGACTAAGTCTTAGCAATATCCTATATGATTAGATCGCTTACAAATACAGTATGATTAAAGTTTATATATTTTGATTTGATACTCAAATGAAATGAAGTGATTAACTTGATGTCATATAAAATTAGGAGTTCATTGACATAAAACGGAAATCAGTTATTATCACTTATTCATGGTCAGATCCTCAGAAACAAATTAATAGTGTAGTGTGCACTACTTGTAGAGACAAAAATGATTAGTATGTAGAATTCTTTTAATCAGTAGAAGAAAATGAAGAGATGAGAAAATAAGACAAAACGATAAAATTCAAACAAGGATGGACTTTATAAAGGACAACTTAAGGAAGATAGGCAAATAGTATTTTTAGAGTATTTCTTTACATTTTACAAATACTGTGTGACTTTACACAATACAATGAATTGGTTTACTTTAACTAAATCTTCGTTCACTACAATAGGTGTAATAACAAAAGACTATGAAATGGGAAGTAAACACTAAGTCTGTTTAAATTCACTTGGTATTGTTTACTTGAATCTTCCCATTGATGCCTAAGACTACAATTGATCAGTCTCTTATTCGCATGTGTGCATACTGTGCGAATTGCCTCGATATTGCCTTAATTTACAAGCATTACAAACAAAGATGGATAGCGACTAGCAGTGGAATACGGGACGCGCGTTTCGTCCTATTTGGGACTCGTCAGCTAGATGCATCTGCATCTTAGAGTTGATGTTCACTCGAACCTAGGACCGTTTGCTTCAAACTAAATCGCGTTATCCACTTAGCTATTCAATCTTGATAGCCACTTGCTTGTGCAATTGGGTGAAGTTTAAATTCGCTTGATATTGTTTACTTGAATCTTCTCATTGATATTTAGGATCGACGAGTCCTAAATAGGACGAAACGCGCGTCCTGGATTCCACTGTTAGCTATTATCCAACTAAGTCTGTTTGTTTTTTGTTATCACTCAATTTAAATGGATTAATTTCTGTCTTGTTGTATTATACAAACATAAATGGTAACAGTTTTTAAAAATTAAGTTATTCCAACTATGAGTAACATTGAAGAAGAAAGGATGAAATCGAAACCAACAAGTGTTGTTCCAAAGCAAATAGCTTGGTGATTAAGGTATTCAAAATATAACTATTAAGTGTCAGGTTCAAGTCCTATCTAACCGAATTCAATTTAGGTAGCTGAATAGTATCATCAACTTTCACACACAATGTATGTCTCAAAGGTGAGTACACTAATTTATATTCGGTAAATGAGTACAGTCGTCATCATAGAACAAATGAATCTTGTTATAAAAAAATTATTGGTGAATATTGTTTATGAAGGTCCATTTGACCACCTTAAGTTATTAGACAACCAGAAATTGTATTGTCATTGGAATAAATGAAATTTCCATGTTATTCTTTGAAAAACATTGTTATAAATTTAAGAAACAGGAAGTCAAGCATCTAGTAGTTCGGTAAAAAATCAAATCTATACAACACATGGAATATGACTGAGTTGATACTACAATTTATGGACGACTATAGAGCGACGCTAAAATGACTTTAAGAGTGTCTATCTACTTACAAGGGATAAATGAGGATTATAAAGCAATTTGAAGAATAATATTATGACTTAAAGTTGATGGTTGGGGATTAGGAATTAGGTTTAGGGTTTTCATCATGAACTGGTATCAGCAATATTACCAAGACTCAATTTAGCCAAATAGATGCATGAATTTCGCATCAAAATCTAAGACCTTTTATCGTGAATCTAATTGGTTCGTCCATTAATTATAGTCTCGCCATGATTGCTTTATTTATCGGTACTACTGGGTACGTGTCCGCTCTGATTAGACTTAAAATGATATAAAAAAAGATTGATAAAGTCGGATAGATGATCATTAAGGACAAAAATGGTAGGAAATTGTTACACAACCATCTTATTAAATAATCACTATATAAATAAAATAGATTTTTCTTGTTATTACATTTAAATACAATAAAGGTAACGATCGAATTCTTGTTAAAATTTCTATCAGGTTCTAGTTAGATATCATCATATAGCAATTAATAATTTTCTTAAAAATACAATCCGTCGACCAAAAGAAATTCCTTGTTGTTTTTCGAATGCCCGAAGTATCTATATATATTAAAGTTTACTGCTGCATCAGAAACTATGAGTATCTTTAAATTATTTTACGGAATAATGAGAACACTCAATGACTTCATTAACTTAAAAAGGAATTGAATAGTGCCCTAGGAAACTGCAAGTTTGTTAGTGAAAATATAATTCTTACTCTACTACATGATTTTAACTTATGGGTGACATCCTATTGTAAAAGGAGAACTTCTCAAAACATATAAGTTGTCTTATGCAATATGAAAGAGACAGTTTTAATCTCAGAATGATTTGATATAATAAGTCTGACTTACGGGATTCGGGTAAAGGTTGCATACAAGTGTTTGGAGGTTTAGTTGCATCCAATATATTACTCCAAGGATCAGGTGGTTCCGGAAATCGGAAACGTAGATCACCTGTAGGGGGTTTCGCAAAAGGTATTCCCAGAAACTGAAAGACATTTTTCCCATGTATGTATTTTTGTTTTCCACTGACGGCTCCATAATTTGTACGTATTACAATTTGGTCTGCCCATGAAATTACTGGTAAAAGCTGCAAGCATGAACAAACTATCTCGAAATTCAAAGGAGATACTAAAAACATAATATAGTCCTAGTAACACCCATTTAATCCCAGGAAAAACAAACCCCCTAAAGTAGCAAATGAATTACCATAATTTATAGTTTTGGAGACGACTTAAAAACTAAAAGGTAACCAATCAAAATCATGTCAGATAAAAAACACTATTCAATAAAGTAAATGATACGAATCTTGCTACAATAAACGGGATTCAGTTTCAGCTAACCTTATATTCAGAATGTGTGTAATTTATGATGTAATTGAGAATTATATTTGTTTATATGTTTCAATAAATCGGCGCTCAATACAATATTGGTGCAACATGGTAAACGTGTTTGTACTTAAATTAAGTTTTTAGCGGCCCACTATTCTCAATGGACACGAGCGACCTATTACTAGAATAATATACAACTGTGATGGTGATCTTATATTTACTGCTGCCAAAAACCAAAGTGTTTGTGTCTGGTATAGTGTAAATGGAGAAAGATTGGGGACCTACGATCAGCATGATGGTGCTGTATGGTGGCTTGATGTAGACTGGACAACTACTATGTTGTTAACTGCCTCTGCTGACTGGTCGTGCAAAATATGGGATGTAGAGACAGGTAATAGGTGTTTGTGAAGTGACATTTCAGGTATATAGGAAAATCCACAAACACTTACAACACAGCCAACCCAGTCCGCACATGTGGTATCTCGTATTGTGGGAATTTGATATTTCTAACTACGGATGATACTGGGAAGAAAAGTTGTGAAATCATTGCTTTGGATAAACGGGACTCGAGTCACGTAAGTGTAAATTTCACTTAAAACCCCTTCAACATGAACAAGTTTTTCAGTCGTATGTTGGAAGTAAACAGATCATAAGTTTTTAAATAAAGTTTTATCAATGAGTGCTATGGATGTTCAGTGCTTTTGTCATAGACTTCCTGTCAAAAGTTTATCTCCGAACTACCATTGCTTTGGTTCGTTTGCGAATATCATTAAGCACTATAACTCACTAGTTACTGAGTCGTGCGCTCTATTTGTTTAGACTTGCTATACTGTTCGCGTATCCAACATTACATAAATGAAACAGACTCCAAATTTGTGGTGTCGTTTTGTGTACATATCTGTTTTTACCTCCTGTAATCAGGTGCTTGGGGAAGAATCATCATCACACTTTCTAACTAATAATCAAATGTCATCGTTTCCCCTATTTAAAAAAAGCGAAGATATAGTTCAAAGTCCCAAGGACCTGCATTTATTATGAGTATGTAACACTAACATGTAGCTCTCCAAACAAACGGAAACTGATCTCTAGGTAGTCAAGCTGAATTTTGATGAAAACGCAAAGCAGGTCAGAATAAGCTGATGAATTTCGATGGCTTATTCCAAGTTATTTTATGGTACGAAATACCTACACATCTGGAGTTAGCAGTTTAATGAGTAAAGCTTTAAACGAGAGTGAAAAGATGTTTACACAGTGATTCTGAATAACATCAGTCTTCAAAAACAAGTGATGGGAGATTTAATCGTGGACGATTGTTTAGACTTCTCAAGAAGAGTTAAAAACCAGGAGTTAGTATCACACATAAACATGATTCACTAATTCAACTGTCAACCCAGGATAGTAGAATGAAAAAGCGAGATATTATCGGAAAAGTTGTATTAACTTCAGGATATATTCTCACATTGCTCACCATCGTCTATATAAAAGTGGTATTTGACTAAGCTGGTCAATTCCTTGAAATTCCGTTACATTATTAAATCCAGTCCAAACTTTGTTAGTTGAGTTAGAGCTTAAAACAAAAGTATATGTGGTAACTATCCCAATGAAAAATCTTGAGTAACTGTTCGTTTAAGTTGTCTCATTAAGCATACATTAATTGACTGAGACCTTCAATAAAACGCTAATCAAGTTTTAAGGACCTTGCAGTGACTTAGATGTGTTCGTTAGTTACTTTCCCCTAGATCTTGAGTTTTAGTAGTAATTCTTGCTACTTATTTCCTTTGATTTAAAACCATGTTCTCAAAGCTGATTCCTATTATTATTCCAATTCTTTTGCTGTTGTTCTTGTTAAATCTCTCTCTCTCTCTCTATGTTCCGATAGGATGTGACAACTTTGGTCCTACGTTGACTATGACTGACTGGATAAGTATTCTCCATTAGATTCATTCCTGTTCGTTTCTATTCAGTTTTGTCACAAATGCACCCAAAAATTGTGTCGTTTATTTTTGATTAGTTTTCCAATGGCTAACACCTACACGAGGTTAAGCTTAGGGTACTAGGTGTATATAACATCCGCTGATAAGGCAATGAATCGTCATCAACTAAAACGGTTGAGACATGTGTTACGTATGTCTAACGACCGCCTACCTCAACGAGCGATGTCTGGTGTAAGACCAAACCCAGACATACTGTTTGTCTGAGCCATGTTGACTGATGCAGACTACTTGGTTTGGGTTCTCGTGATAACAGCGATCAGTTGTTGGTGACTTTGGGTGACGTGATTTAGAATCATTTGGAATGGATCAGGTACATCCACTACTTGTCTCCCCAGTAACCTAAATCTAGAAATCGCTCTATACCTTTTTCTATATCTAATAAATACTGTTACCAATTCTATGACTCTCATTTGTTTTGATAATTTTCTATGTATCCTGTTGTGGTCTAGCAACTTGAACCGATGCACATATATGTCAGGTTTTACGTTGCATATGAATGACTAACTGACTCCAGTTACTGGCCAGCAATGGACGAAGTAAGGCAGGATAATAATTGTCGCTTTATCCAATACTATATGTTTGTTGTAAATAATTCTGAGCTTAGAAACTTTAGCTACTTTACCTTAATATTCATTTGCACCGCGAAGGTTCATGTACATACAGTGATAATAAAGTTCTTCATAACAAGCTATCAAAAGGTTTATGTCTTTAGTTAATAAATAAATTTTCTAGAATCCTCATTTAGTGTTTCTCATTCTCTTCACGCGTATTAAACTGTTATTTTTCCATTCTTATCAATAAACCTTATTAATTCGATTAGTTTATAGATTAAAAGCACCTAACTCATCCAACCACTGATTGCAGTTGTCGCGCAATTATGAGTATATCTGTCATTAAATTGATAGAATATTCAGGTTTGAAAATAGTAACTGCAGAAAATCGATGTCGTGTGCAGAAACTACTTTCAAGTGGTGTACCAGACTAAATGTTGACTCAAAACAACTTCAAAAAGCTTTAATAATAGGTAGATTTTCTTTCGTATTCCCATAAAATAGTTTTCTTCACCCACATCTTATACAAATCCAAATTTTTGTAAAACAAATTATATGGGCTAAGAAACAAATACCAGAAATTTTAATAACCTTTTATCTGTTAGTGTACATGCCATTGAACTCTAACGTAGCTATAATTCATTGGTTGCCAAATAATCTCAACGAAGATCCCCACTTAAAAATGACTGAAATGGCTGCTATCAATTTTCTATTATGATCCATTATTTTCGTTTTTTTGTCAATAGATGTCACAAAAATCCTGTATATTTAAGATAACATCTCCGGATGATTCTAAAGTGACTGGAGCAATATGGGGCCCAGTCAACCGAAACATTATTTGCGGACATGAGTCCGGAGCTATAACAATGATAGATGTTAGTTCTGGGAAATGTTCAAAGCGTATCAACCCTCATAAAGGGCCTGTTACAGATATGCAGATGCACCTAACTCTGCCAATGTTCATAACTGGATCAAAAGATCATAATGCCAAAGTAAGTAAATTTTCTAACACATAAATACCTACTTTTTCCCAATGGACATGAAATGTTCTGCTTAGCGTCGGTAGAATTTCGTCTCAGTGAATCCCTTATCTTAGCTGTTACCTCAACGTAGTGATCAGGCTCGCATATCGTAATGACTCAATCAACTCATATTAGCTGAGACATTCGCTTTTTAGATCCTACAATGCCAGGAACATTGGTTAAAATAAAAGTAACTAACACATGGTCCAAGAGTGAAGTCGTGCAGCCGGCTGGGCTAAAAATGTTATAGCAGTAAAGTGTTTCACTCAGTCAACCAACATCTGCAGTGGTGCTGCTTTCCCAAAAAGAAGAAAATGGGCTAGTAAAGATCTACCCTAACAACACACCTCATCCCACGAATTAGTCATTCTTCAGAAGTACAAAACTGTAATGTATGACAAACTACTAGACTAAAAGACCGTAAGTAACCGGCCTCAAGTAGTTGTCTCTTAAGCTCTAGTCATTAAAACTACCTTCAATTTAGTTTCTTTTCTCGTTACCTCAAGATGAAGTATCTTTTCACATTGTGGGCGACTACCCTCAAACGTATAACAGCACTCAAAATCACCTTATTTACAGTCAAGCTCCATCTTTATTACCTAATATTTCTCGCATTTATACTATCAACCCTCATCTTCTGTTTTTTATTTCCTGTATATCTCCTATAAGTGTTAACGAATTGAGCTCAATCCAAATTAGGTATCAGAGCTTTAAATATCCAAACTTTATGTTAAATCTGGCAATGTGTTTCTGACTAAAACCCTATAACTTCATCCCATCGATATGTTCATACGGGATTCTAGCGTGGATATTTCCTTGACGTCACCTGGCCAGAATGAACAACCAACGTGATATACCCTTCGTTTATCTAAAGATGTGATAGCAACTTCTCGTGGTCTTGTTTGAATATGTGTGACATTAATTTTAAAAGAAAGGCGCTTCTTAACCGGATTCCTTTCGACTGTCGTTTATCTGCTTTCCGTCTAAATGGTACAGTAAAATACTAGGATAGGACCCATGCATTTGCCTTATCATTGTTTCTGCTTTTGCCCCCACTGACGGAAGTTCAGGTGAGGTAAAGCTGAGTTTTACAAAAGAACTCTGACCTATACAAGTACATATTTTCCTTTAAAAATCCATAGTTATATTCATTTTGTGTTTGTATTCAGCTTTTCAGTGCTTATGATTTGGAATGCATACGAACATATACTACCGAACGTCCAATAAATTCTGCTGCTATTTC